AGTTAGTTACTTTAAGTCTGTGTCTTGTTCCCCAAATTTGTGTTTTATATGTCCTGGTTTTGACCCTAGTTCCAGTTCCTTGGTTGTGTTTCATGGATTACCCTTGTTTAACTTCTATGCTTGTTTGACACTATATGGATTTTATTATGATTTAAGATAAAGCACATACCAGGCACTTGTATCCTGTCTCTCACTGCACGTTACACATTCATTCATCTTCATTAAGTGCTTTATCCTGGTCAGGGTCGCTGTGGATCTGGAGCCTATCCCGGGAACACTGGGCGGGAATGCAGCCATCTTTAATATTAAGAGCATCTGGTAGGCGTTTTTGTTTTTGAGCTGTCAGCATTGCTCACAGTCTGACTGAAGCATGAGTACAAGGTCATCTGAATCTCCAGGACACTTGCACTCAGCTTCTTAGTGACTGTTGGAGTGTATGATGGGGGTTATGATGTGGTGAAGGCATTATGTAATGTGTTGTGAATAATGTGCAGGGCCTTCTTCAAAGAAATTTTAGCTTCTCTTAATTGTCTTATGTTACTAGTATGTTTAATATAAGACCTATATTATACCGAGGCTGGACAGTTGAAGATTGGAAAAATTGTCTTGTGTTTTTCCAATCTCTAACTGTCCGGTTTCAGTGAGGCTGTACCCACTGTAGCCTCAAATTCCTGTTCTTGCCTGACAGGATTGAAACATGATGTGGTCTTCTGCTGTTGTATCCCATCTGCCTTAATGTTCAACATATTGTGAGTTTTGAGATGCTTTTCTGCACACCACGGTTGTAAAGGTGGTTATTTGAGTTACCATGCACTTCCTGTCATCTCAAACCAGTCTGGCCACTCTCCTCTGACCTCTCACATCGACAAGGTTTTTCTGTCCAGAGAACCTCTGCTCACAGGATGTTTTTGTTTTTCCACACCACTCTGTGTAAACTCTATAGACTACTGTGTGTGAAAATCCCAGGAGATCAGCTGTTTCTGGAATACTCAAACCAGCCCTTCTAACACCAGCTCTTGACTTGTACACTATATTACCAAAAGTATTCGGTCACCCATCCAAATGATCAGAATCAGGTGTCCTAATCACTTGGCCTGGCCACAGGTGTATAAAATCAAGCACTTAGGCATGCAGACTGTTTTTACAAACATTTGTGAAAGAATGGGCCGCTCTCAGGAGCTCAGTGAATTCCAGCGTGGAACTGTCATAGGATGCCACCT